GATGATGTTACAGAACAGAACAGTGTAGCATTTCTCAGGCACCGCTTCCCACAGACCTGAGCTAAGGGCCCCGGAAGCATCTTATACTTGCTTCTGTTTAGCAAGTTGGACAAAAATCTGTTGTCCTCATCCCAGCTTCCCCGGAACCACTTTAGAGTAAGGCACACTCCGTGTCCATGTTCGGAAACCCAGAACGTAATATAGCTCACAGAACATGGGAAGCTAAAGAAAAGCATGTAGAACTGAAGCGTCACAGGAAGAAGAGGAGGGCCTGAACTTGCACGTGAAACTTACATCCCACTCTGGGGCAGGCGCTAGCGCCAAGCTACGCGAACAGCGCTGGCTTTCAGATGAATGTCACAATCCTTCCCTTCCATGGCTACCACGGAGCAACCCTGGAGGCAGAGTAGCCCGAATATTAAACATCACCTGGCACGGTGAGGAATGTGGAGTGCCTGAACACGTTATTAGCTTTATCAGTTTTTATCCTTAAAAGTACAGGCAATAATAGTTTATTCTATTTTCCCACTCCTTTATTAAAAATATATGTAATTTTTCAGAAAGTATAAAGTTCTCAAAATCATGTGAGATAGACCTTTGCTCATAAATATTCCTTCTACAAAAATATAAAGATAATGCCATTGAAAGGCCATTCTGTTTCTCCTCCTCCTCCTCCTCCTCCTCCTCCTCCTTCTCCTTCTCCTTCTTCTTCTTTTCAGTACTGGGGATTGAACTCAGGATCTTGCACTTGCCAGGCAGGTGCTTATTCTACTGAGCTATCTCCCCCAAAGGGTCTTTCTAGAACTTACTTTAAAAATTAAGATTTTTCTTAGATCTGGCTTAACAGAAAGGAAGACATATGCAACTTTTGGTTCATCATTAGAAAGTCTTTCCGCAATCCTAAACTGAAAACATGATTGAATTATAAAGACATCTATTTCATCAGTAATTAATTTCTTTAAACCATCAAAGCCTAGTGTTCCAGTTTTACAACACCCACAATGACAGAGCAATAAAATTACTTCTCTTCAAATTCTTGTTCCTTGAATTTTTTTAGTAAACATATGAACTTCCTGCAAAATTTCAAAATATGGCAATGTTCAGCGTTATATTCCTAGTTACCCTCAGTCGTCACAATTTTTTTTTTTTTTTTTGTATTTTTATGGAAGGGTCTACAGGGTGTTCAGGGTCTCACTACTAGATCAGACTCATAGTGATTTGCCTGTTTACAGCCTCCCAAGAGCTGGGATTACAGGCGTGCGCTACCACACCTAGTCTAACTTGCCATCTCAGCGTGCTCCTGGGGCGGGGCTGGCATGGCAGGCCTGGGGATCAAACCCTGGCCCCTGTGCCTGCTTGCAGGTGCTTGAATCTGCTGAGCTATTTGGCCAGCCCAGTCATCACTATTTTGGTTCACATTTTTCTAAATAACATGGTAGAATTTCCTAGAAATTGACTAATTTTCAGTTCTGTGTTTTGGTTCTATTCTTTGATTTTTGTTTTGTGCTACAGTCACCACCCTATTCGTCCAGTCAAGCGTAGGAGAGCGTTCTCCACAAAGGGCCAGGTAAGGAATTACTTAAAGCTTTGCAAAGGTCTGTCATGCTGGGCATCTCTGGTTTTGTAAAGTGAAAGTAGCCACAGACAACAAATAAGCAAATGAGTACACTGTGTTCCAGTTTTTAGAAAACAAAAGAAAAACCAGGCAATGAGCCAGCCTTGGCCCATGGCCATAATTTTTTAATCCCTACTTTAGTTCATTATCTTTATTTTATTATGAAAGTTTTCAAACAAAAGGAAACACAGAGAACAACATACACTAGCATTTAGACTTAAGAGTTGTCAACATCTTGCCATATTGACTTCTTTTATTGTACTACTCAATCACCATATGGAAGTTTTTGTCATTGTGAGATTTAGTTTCTAATAATTAAGCAAATATTTCTAAAGGAAAAGATAATGTAATAAAATATTGAGCATTTATCCTAACTTTAACATACTTACCTTGATTTCTTTTCCATTTTTAAGATGTGGTCATGTTTTTCACATATTTTAAAAAACAATTCAGTCCCTAAAAAAACTATTCACAGGGCTGATTAGAATAATTTTTACACATATGTGAAACCATAGTTTTGCATATACGATAAAAGCATATATTCTGAGGGGTTTGTCCACAATATGAATCTATGTTATGGGTAGCCAGTAATGATTTTGGCTAGAGCAGTCAGTTACTTTAAATAGACTTTAAAAAATTCTAGGTTAGTTGAATACTTCACTGTTTCATTTTCAAAAAAGTGTTGCAGCTTTCCTACCTATAAATGCATATAGAAATACAGACTTCTGGAATGACATTCTAGAGTTTGTAATACCTTGCCAAAGAGAGGAGAACTCTTTTGAGGAGAACTTTAATCACTATTGGAGACTTTGTCAGCATACCAGGGAAATTCCAATAGAAAAATTACCCAAATCTCATCAAATCTCCACAAAATGAGAACCTTTGGTGCGCCCAGGGAGGTACACGTCCCGAACAATGCTGAGAACAGACAGGATGTAAGTTTGCTGAGGCCAGAGGAAAGAAACAGCACATAACGCGCTATGCCCCAGTTCAGAAGGAGCTGAGCACCAAGACGATTTCAAGAAAGAACCAAGAAGGTGTGAGTGTGGCAGGTGGGCTCGTGCTGCCCGCGTCTTGAGGCATCTTCATTCACAGGTAGGGAGAGGATCAGCAGAGAATCAGGAAAAGCAATGGGAGTCCACTGAGATAAGAGGATGGCACAAAGATAAGGGTTTCCAAAGGTGAGATCACTGGAAACTGGAACAAAGGTAGAGTTAAGAAATAAGCTAAATTTGATTAAAGGGAGTTGCAGTTTCAAAAATCAGAGGGCCCTGAGCAAGAGAGAAGATAACAAAAACACTGAACATCTCTGAACTGGCTTTCAGGGTCGCTGCTGGCCATATATGCTTATTTAAATGTAAATTAACTTAAGACAAGCTTGGCAAAATAGATAGTGGACTAAGTGCCTGCTTAGGTAAGCTCAACGACCCGTGTTCAATCCCCAGACCCACAAGCCCAGTCAGGCCCCACCCCCAGGGCGCACTGAGCCAGACACCAAGACCAGGCATGGTGGAGCACATCTGTCATCGCAGCGCTGGGGAGGCTGAAAACAGGCAGAACATTGTAAGTCTGAGCTGCATAGTGAGACCATGTACAAAAATACACAAATTTTTTTTAAAAAGAAAAGTTAAAAATTCAGTTCCTCAGTCTTATTATCCATAATCAAATGCACAATAGTCTTGTATAGCAAATGGCTACCATTTTAGATGGCGCAGGTAGAGACTATACTCCGCAGCAAGTTCTACTAGACAGCACTATGCTAAGGACATTAAAATGAGTATAAAGAAAAAAGACAGGGAAAGAGAGAAAGCCATGCTTAATGTCTCTAGCTATCATGTGACTGTCAGGACAGCTGCTGTAACACAACGTTGAGTTCTGCCACCCTCCTTCTCTAGAAAGCTCGCCTATAAATCTCTCTAGTTTTTTAGGATTATTGAAGCAGGGCACTCAGTTAGGGGTGGAGTGAGGGTTGGGCTTCAGAGGTCCACATTCACATTCTATTTTGCTTGACTAGTGAGAAATTCGGCCTGCCCGTCTCCTCTTACTTTATTCATTCACATCAACCAAGCCTTATAATTTTTATTCATTGCAAGCAAACCCAAGCAGCTTTCTGCCTTCCCTCTGAGCTCTGAGATGACATTTCAAACCACTGTCAACCTGTGCCATGACTGTAGTAAAATGGCAGCACCCTATAGACTGCCTGTCCATTGAGACACTTTGTCCCTTTCCGGGACATTGTTGGCGTCCTTGGACCATAACCAACATCTCATCAAATGGCTCTGCTGTTCCAGACCGGCCTTTCCAACTATAAAGGCATCCAGTGCCTAAAGGCTTTCTGCAGCTCACACTGTGAGTACAGCCAGGTAAGGAGAAGAGGCCCCAGCAATGCGTGCAGGCCCTGCCTTGGAAGGCCCACTGTTCTCAGAAGCCTCGGGGCTGCACCCGGCTTTGCATCTGCATGTGTGGGCAGCTGTTTCCTCAGCGCGCTCCTATGTTCTCATTGGCTCACTATGTGGATTCTTGGCTCTGGGCTTGGAAATTGGCGCTGACTTTTGACACATCTCACCTGAGAACAGCTTTCAGGGATTCCATGCGTATTCTAAGCACGGCCCTTCATTTTGAAAGTGGTTAGCAGGTTTCATGGGTGGTTTTCACTGCTTACTTTGGATCTAGTTGAGTGATTAAATATTTTAAGTTTTGTGTTACAGTGTTTGAAAAGGACCATATTTTTTTAAGGAAAAAAATAATTGGAGAGAGAACGTATTCATTTAGAGCAAATGGAGACTTCCATGAGAGTCAGGCTGGCTACCCAAAGGGAACTATGACTTATGTAGACCTAACCTTACATAGACTTGCTTCAGTGAACTATGCTTTCAAAAAACTCCTCAGTCTCAATGCTAGTTTTTTTTGTTTGTTTGTTTGTTTTTTTGTTGTTGTTTTTTTTGCTTAGAAAATAGCTAGATCTTTCCTAACATCTGCTAAAATGGAAATCTTGTAATTTTCTACCATGTCTTGAGGGTTTGGCTTGAACATGAGCCCGATAATCCTCTGAATTATATGAGCACCCAAACCTTCTCCCTCCCTTTTTAATATGGGAAAAATTAAACACCTCATAAATAAAGCCCAGAATGAGAAGCCCCCATAAATTGCATAACTCTGTAGTTTGGCCACTTGAAATGCCTGCCACTGAAAACCTTCAGCAGAGCTGTGAATCTTCCTCAGCCTGTGGAAAGCTGCTTTCAGCTGGAAGAAGGGTGTGTCCCTAAGCTTTTACCTGGAGCAATGATGATCTTGTCAAGCATTTCAGGGAGACCAGCCCAAGTTTTTAGGGTGGGGATCCAGACTGGTTATACGTACCTCAGTCCTTCTCCCGGAGGAAGGCAGAAACACCTGAAAGCCGGCGAGTAAGAACATCTACTGGGAAATCATTTGAATCAGACGCCAGCTGAGTGGGAGAAAGAAAAAGAACAGAGAAGAACAAAGCTCCCTTGGTCTTGGATGTCAGGGACGCCGCCGCAACCATGGACCGGCGACCCTTCACTGCAGCGGTCCTGCTCCTCTGCCTGGTAAGTGGGACCCGCAGGGGGTCCCTGCGGCCTCAGCCTCCTCCAAAGCAAGTGAGGGCTTTGTAGACAATGTTACTTAGAGGTGCTGCTGACCTAAACCCATTAAAAGTTTATGCTAATAACAAGGTGATTTTTATGAAGTAAATTTTTAAATAGTGTTTCTCCCCTTAATTGAAGACTCCGGATCGTATTAACCACTTCCACGTACACTCATCGTATTATAAACCTGATGTCAAAGTCACTGCGAAGTCATGCTGAGGAAATATTAAACTGCGGGTGTTTCTCTCAGTTTTTCAGAGTCTCATGTGCAGGTGGACTTTTTACACTAAAAGTTAAACAGTGTGTCCTGATTTCAGCCTAAGCATATCTCTATTCTTTTGGTATCTTTGGTGGCAAAGTCACTACAATTTTTTAAAGATGAAACAGGAGCCTTATAAATTAAAATCAGCCATCGGCAACTGTCCTGGCAATCTGAGTGATCTCACTACTTTATTATTAGAATCCATACGGCTATATCAAAAGCCCCACATCGCATAATGATAATCCGATTTAAAGCAATGTTTTTATTTTAAAAATGACAATCTAAGAGATTTATGAATAACACAGTGAGGAAAAATGACTGTAATTAAGAAGTAAACATAGCTATCCTTGTCCTTGTGCTTGCTACCAGAAAGTCAGTAGCCACTTTATCAGGAAGATATGCAGCCCGCGGTTAGACAGTGCCTCTCTTCCGTGTTGCTAGTCTTCGCTTTTCAGAGATGGTATATATTAAGAGCAGCATCAATATTTTGTATCCGCTTCACATTTGGGAAAAAATTTAAAGTCAGAGTCTCTCTCACTGTAAGGTTCATATAGCCTAGAGAAGTTAGTGTCAAGCAAATGGCCCAGGCAAATACGGTATGCATCTGTCTCTACTTGCTTGAGTTCTGAACTGGAAGGGTGGGTTTGTCTAACAAGTTAGGCCTTTCATTCATAGTATGCTGGTGAGTTGATTAACTGAGAGGGATTAAAGCCAGCTATAAATGAGCATCAGTACCACAGTGGCTTTAGCTCTGATCTTGCCCTTCAACAATTACTTCTATTCTGCAGACTTTTTAATGGCGCTTTAAGATTAGTTGATGTCATAACTTGGGTCGTGGCAGGGGACTCAGGAGCATCATACAGTATGTGACCTATCAGAACATTGTATGTCGCCAAACAATTGAATACTTTATTTTTAATTTTATATGTTTGACTCATTGAAGATTGTTGTATGATTTCAACTGATGAAAGTTCTAGGGGAGACTTGAATACTAAATTTCACTGAATCTATATTTGACTTATTTCTTAGTTTATTTCTGATGAATTACACCCTATAAAGCTCCTTTAAAAAGCCACTTTCTAATTAGTCATTCTTCAGTAAAATCTGTCACTTTACTAAAGTCATTTATTCTCATAGAACTTTCTGTTTTAGGGGAAAAGTGTTCTGGGCATTTGTATTTGATTTTCTAAGCTAGGATATCATTTGTTTATGGATTGGCTTTAGAAAGATACAAAGTATTTAGCCATATTTGATTTTATTCTGGTATCAGCTGTAAATTTCTAATATGCCTTGTGGAAATTATTTCTTTAAGAAACATATAATGAACTTAGATGTTTTATTTTCATACTGATAATAACTTTTTATAAAATATTATACTTTCTAAGGCCATAATTTATTTTTACTGCTGGTTTTACCAGGCAGTTTTGGAGTTAAATATGTGTTGTTTTAAAACTGCTTTTCCTTTAAAGACAACCCTGACTACAGCAAACTCTTCCAGTTTCCTTTCTCCCTTTAGTTGCTCACTTTTACCAAAAGAGAAAAAAATGGTGTTCATGAAGAAATTGTACTTCTCTCTGCATTTATCCAAGCAGATAAATGAGAATTCATGTTAGGAATATAGTTTAAAACTCATAGCAGCTTTAAGGCCAAACATGCGAGAACCAGGCAACTACTGCGCACAGCATGTTGTGAAAGCCGCTTAAACCTGTGAAAGCATTATCTCTCGTTCACAGCAGTGGGTAGATCAGGAGGCAGGAAGCAGAGGGTCTGGGCGCCACAGCAGACACCTGGCACCATAATTTACCAAGCCAGAGGCTGAGACGGGAGCTGTGCAAGTTCGAGTCCAGCGGAGACAACCTAGCAAGGTCCTGCCTCAAAATAAAAATAAAAATAAAAAGCACTCTGGATATAGCTCAGTGAAAAACAGCCCTAGGTTTAATCCTCAGCACAACAAGCAAAAAAAAAAAAAATGAAAATAAAAACAAAAAGCAGAGCTACTCCTCAAGTGGCCAAGATTGCTACACTGATACTGCATTATGACACAATGGTTCACACTTGCTATAACTCTGCAAGACAAATTCTCTCTCTCTCTCTCTCTCTCTCTCTCTCTCTCTCTCTCTCTCATCAGTGTATACAATGGAGAGAAGAGTTAGACAGTAGTTTCTTTCCACCAGAGAATGACATTACCTATACACCTAATGAAGAAATCTGGGTGGAAGGTTGTGGCCATAGTAAAACAAAGAACATGGTCACCATGGGAAAGCAAACAGAACCAGTAGAATTTCTAGAGTTCTAATGATTTTTGAAAATTACTTGCAACCTTGCCAAGTCCAATTAATCCATTAACAGGTATATAATCTGAAAAAAAATTTTTTTGCAGTGCAGAATCAACCTAGGCCCTTTGTGCTGAGCTACATCCCCAACCTCTCTGTCTCCTGCTCGTCCTTCTCCTCCTCTTCCTCCTGCTCCTCCTCCCCTTCCTCCTCCTGCTCTTCCTCCTCCTCCCCACTTTCCCCTTCCTTCTTGCTCCCCTCCTCCTCCCCCTCCCCTCCCCTCCCCCCCCCCCCCCCCCCCCCCCCCCCCCCCCCCCCCCCCCCCCCACCTCCTCTTCTCCTCCTTCTCCTTCTCCTTCTCCTCCTTCTTTTCCTTCTCCTTCTTTTCTTTTTGAGACAGGCTTGCCCTAAATTGCTAAATTGCCTTGGCTGGACATGAATGTGCAATCCTCCTCCCTCAGCCTCATAAAGTGCTGGGATTACCAGTGATCACAGTCATGCTGGGCCTGATGAGATCTTTTGCTATGAAGGCAAATTTCTATAGCTTAAGCTAAAAAAAGATGAAACTGTTTTTATCTATTGGCATAGATGATCTGCTTTTTCATTTTGTCATAGTACCTTCTCCTTCTCCTACAGGTTAATGTCTTGATTCTTTTAAAAAACCTCTATCTGATGTTAACTTCATACTTTGAGCTTGGTGGAAATCCTCTAGTATATGAGTAGTAGCTTTTCAAGTACTTTCCACACTCAGGCTAAAATGCACTGAAAATACTATTTACTTTCATATTGCTCATCAAGTTATTTGAACCAGACAGTTTTAAGTTCCCTTAATTGTGTTCTCTGTCCCCTAAATAAAAGGACGGGCTTAAGAACCAGCACAGACAGAAGACAAGACGATCCAGAGGAGTCTCCAGGCTTTGTTATGCACACCTTATGGTGATACACATTATAGAGATTAGTATTTCAGCAAAGTATTTTATAGACATGGAGACTGTATCTTTGTTCCCCATTCAGTGAAACTTATAAACTACATTAAAATAATTTTCATTGGCATAGTCTTGTAAAAGTTCTATTATTTTCAAAGCAGATTTAGGATCAGTCTTTTTTTACCTTCACAAAGAATATAAATCTGCTGCCACTTAACTTACTGGAGTTGCCACAGAGTAAAAACATTTTGCCACAAGTTATATTTTACTTTTGTTTCAAGTGTATCCTTGTGACTTGCAGAAGAGTTAACAAATATATTAGAATTTGATGTTTGACGAATTGTGTTTAAGTAATGATAGGAAAATCTAAAGCGCCGGGAAATATTGTCATGTTAAATCTGAAGACCTGGCCCTGAGGGCCAACATCAGCCCCCTCTGGAGAGATGAATTGCTAATTTAAAAAGTGACACTGTGGTCCCTGCCCAGAGTACTTAATTTCTGGTGACTCCACTCAGCGCTCAGGAGAGTCCTGCTGAGGAGAGCTTGGGTCTTCCGGGACTGTCCCGTATAGAAGCAGGAAGCTGCTTTGTGTGGCCCTGGACCTAGATTTCTTTCTTTTGCTGCCCCAGCTGAGTAACACCCTTCCCGAGTGCTGGGTCATGCCACCCTCGCAGGTTATGCTAGGCACTCAGATTTCTTTAATGGACTTTGACAGCTCAGACATTTTTCAAATGTCATTGGCAGCTGGTCCGTGTTCTTGCTTGGTCTACAAGGACTCAGCACAGGCTTTTACACTCCTCTACTGGGAAACCATATCTTCCCCAACTACTAGCTGCCCAGTGATTGCAGGACTACTGGACAGCGAGTTGTTTGAAGGCAGGGTCTGTGCCTGACTCACATCCACATCAGCGCAGCACCTTGCACCATGACAAGATTGCTAAGTGCCCAAGCACACAGGGCAGAGGCACAGCGGGCAGTGTGGGCGTGGTTTCCATTTCCCTCCCCACACACGCTCCTAAAAGTTGTCAAGACACTAACTGTGGAAATAATCATGTTGGATTTTAACACTTTTATGGTATAATATTGAATCTACTTGACACTTTCGTCTATAGCTTACCATACTATTTTTTGAGTTGGCCCTTTAAAAATCTTAATGATGCCTTGGATCTGCATAATACACCACAAATGATATGTATTTGCAAAGAAATAAACAAATGAACAAATAGGAGGAATCAAGCCACTGTGTTGTTGTCAGCCCTAGAATGGTGGCCCATGACAGAGCAGTGCAAAAGAAAGAAAGAGAGCTGGGGAGATGGCTCAGTAGAATAAATGCTTGCCTGGCAAGCACAAGGTCCTGAGTTCAATCCCCGGTACTGTAAAATAAAAGAAAGAAACAAGAGGTAGTTGAAAAACAAGTTATATTTTTTCTTTTCTTTCAAGTGTATCCTTCTGACTTACATAAGAGTTAACAAATACATTAGAATTTGATGTTTAACAAATTATGACTACCCAATATTAGATATAATCTGTTTTCCTAATACAATTACTTTCTCCAGTCTATTTTTGTTATAAACAAAATAAAGTTCAAAATCAAAAACTGCTAAAAATTAACTGCAGTTAGGAACCACTAAATTAACTCTCCGATTTGCATCCTCTGGCTTTAATAACATCAGTGAGCTGACTCCTAAAATAGTGGAAGGAAAAAGCCAGTGAAGATTCACTTCAAGTGAGTTGCCCACTGCTTTGCAGAATTCTAGGTTTACCAAGTGTTGGAGTATCATGCACAGATGAGGAAACTGAGGCACAGATTGGCTAAGTGACCACCCCAAAATCTGTTGCCCAAAATCTGTAGGCAACAGAGCTGATACGTCCTTGATTTCCCTGCCTCCCCACTTGTCACTAAGGAAATCTCCCTTACCAGATTATTTCTGAACTCAAACTAGCTATAGGACTTAGGACACTCAGAAGAGCGTGCTTCAACTTTCCTTTCCCAGCTAATTTGCTGTCACCCCTCCTTTCCATGTTCCTGTCCCATCTTCAAGTCCTTTCATTTCTGCTTTATTCCTCTTCTCCCCATACACTTCTAGTAGGTACCTTCTTTTGGAATCTCTTTTCTTTTAAATCAAAATTTCCTGCTTTCCTTTGTCAACTTTCAAAAATCAACAAATCTTCCTTTTCTGCAGAATTTCCTTAAGACCCGCTTCTAGTTCTATCATTTTGTGTTTCTGTTTCTATTTATCACCAAATTTCTTGAAAAATGAGTCTTCATCCCTCCTTTTCTTCCCTAATCCATTTCAGGTGAATGCTTCTTCCATTTAACTAGAAATTTCTCTTGAAGATCACTGCAAGCCTCAGGCCAGGATCCACACAGCTCAGCCGTCCTTTGCACCCCATGATGCTTCCACTCACACCCATCCATTCACCTCCTAGCTTCCCCTGCCTTTGACAACTGCAATAATGTATGATAGTTTCCCTCTGTTCCTATGACTTCTGTTTGTGTTATATTTGTTGGCAGTTGTACAAATGTAAGAATTTCCCTACTGTCCTCCTCAGCACAGGCTGTTTGTTTGCTGTCTTCCAACTTTAGAAATTCCAAATTCTCCCATGATTTCTACTATTGCCTTCTCTGAGCAGATGTACCTCGAATCCACAGGCGCAGGCTGGACTTCTGTTCAGACTCCTGATGCTTATTTCCAAATGCTTAATATCTTCCTGGGCATTTCCCTGGCATCTCAAGTTCGTTCACTGCATTCTGATCCAAACACTGCTACTGCTTTGCTTCCAGGCCCTTTCTTCAAAGCTGTCACCACCTGTGAGCCCCCCTTCCCCTTCCCCTCCTCACTACCTCACCCCATCCAGTTCCGAGTCCACTCCATCCACCAAATAGATCACCCTTGATCTTTCCCTGCGCCTCCCACTGCTTGTGCTCCGTCTAGCTCCTCCTCCCCTCCTGCCTGACTGGACACAGAGGACCTGACCCTCTCAGCCTATAATCACTGCTTCTTCCCACCAGTCCTACTAACCATTGTCCAAAAAATCTCTCAAACCCACAATTTTAGCATACCTTTCCCACAGTCAGAATACTTAAGTATTGTCCTGTGGTACACAGGGATTTGGTGCTTGAACTGAAAAGATCTTTGTACATAAGTTAGTCTAACTCATGTTACAAATGAGCAAATGAAAGTTCAGAGAATTTAGAAAAATGTGTTGAAAATGTCCTGATTCCACCCTGTAATCTTTTTATTTCATTACACATTTGAAGGTCTGTGTCTAGGGTGTTCTGAACCCTGAGCAAAAGAAAATAAGCTTAGGTGAACTAGCCACATATTTAAGTAGACATGGCAGTTTTTTAATTACTCATCCAATTGAGAGTCTGACTCTGTGGTGAAACCTACTTGGTCTTCTGCCTAAATTGCCTCTCATGGGAAAATGAATGACCCAGCTTCATGAAGTCAGAAAGGCTTCTTAGTCATCCTGAGCAGCGATCCAAAGCAAACAGCAGGCTCTGACCTTTCACTGACGGAAGTGCAAAACAGATAGCAGGTGTGTACAGTGCTGTGAAGAAATGACTTCCAAACAGAAAAACAAGGGCTCCCCACCTCCCTGTCCCGTACCCACAAACAACACAGAGAAAAGTGCTCTGCATTTGCATTAATTTCCTTTCCTTCTGCACCCAAGACAGCCTCTACAGATAGCATTGCAGTGACATGTGCCGCCTTCTAGGTCATTCAGTGTCCTCCCCCCAGTATGACCATTGGTGATGATACATGTAATCATCGTAATTACAGGACAATGTGAAATTTAATTTAAGCCAGAAATGTTCTACTTCTCAAAGAAGTAATATTTATTCTCCATTGTAAGTTTTACTTAGTGATTTACTCAATAGAATAGACCAGAGCAAAAACTTAAGCTAAAATGTGTGGGTTTGTTTGTAGCCATAAGTGAATATCCAAGTTTCAGCTTCTTTATCTGTAAAATAGAGATTATAATGTATTGCAAAAATGTATCTATACTTTTACAAAATAAAATGAAGATACTAGTAGTGCATTTGTTATGAAGATGAAATGCACATATTTTTTATAAGAGAGTTGTTTGATTTTTAAATGACTTAATAATATCAATTGCAAAGCATTCAATAAAAAATTACTGTGATTATCTTGTTTTTCTAGGTCGTAGTTGAAGTGAACAGTGAATTTCGAATCCAGGTAATATATAATAAATTTATTGATTCCAAACTTAGAAGCAATGGTTTAGGAATAACATATTTTATAAAGGAAATTCATTCTTAAAAATAAAGTTAATGTAATGCTGAGGTTAAGAGACTATCAAAATTATCAATTTTTCCAGTTGAAGAACCTCTCTTTCTGATATAATTATTCCATCTCCAAAAGAGACAGAGCAATATAAATTATAAACGAAATTAATACATGTTATTGCTTTATCCTACTTATCAAGGTAAGAGATTATAATGCTAAGAATGGCACCATTAAGTGGCATTCAATGAGAAGACAGAAACGTGAATGGATCAAGTTTGCTGCAGCCTGTCGCGAAGGCGAAGACAACTCAAAGAGAAACCCCATTGCCAAAGTACGTGACAACCCCAAAGCGTACATGTAGAGAAACAGATGGGTGGGTTGACGTTTCAAAAGAATCGGTGGGCATTCCTCATTGAGAAGTTATATTATGACACTATAATGATTTAAGTTATGAAAACTAAAGTTCCTAAAAAGGTAAATTTTAAAAATTACATATTCACACAAACAATTCCACATCAGCTCACCTCAATGGCAGAATTAGTATACATGAGCGTATGTTGCTCTGAATTCTCATTGAAAAAGGAAATAAAAAATTTAATTGTGAATTCAAGTTTAAAAATGAATTCAGGGATGAATTTAACATGCAGCAAATACAGAGGAATTTCAAGTTGTGCCATTTTTGCTCTGTAACCTGTTAAGATTGAACTGCTACTTCTGTGCTTTCTTAGGAACATTCAAAATGTGCCCCTTCATACTGTCTTTTTACTTTTATTTTTTCTACCTTCCTCTACAAAAACACACACATGCATGCACACACAAATATATGTATTTAGTCCTGAACACAAATACAGACATACAGATATACACAGAGACTCCTCAGTAAGATTTGCTTATATTTTGTGTGTGTGTGTGTGTCTGTATGTGTGTGTGTATGTGTGTGTGTGTGTGTGTGTGTGTGTGTGTGTGTGTGTGTTTTAGGGAAGGGTCTACAGGGTGTTCAGGGTCTCACTATTAGATTTGACTCATACAGGGATCCACCTGTATACAGCCTTCCAAGAGCTGGGATTACAGGTGCACACCACCATGCCCAGTCTCAATTGCTATCTCAGCACCCCGGGGGGCAGCACAGCAGGCCCAGGGATCAAACCACTGGCCTCTGCCCCTGCTTGCAGGCACTTTAATCCACTGAGCTATTTGACCGGCCCATCATATGGTATTTTATTTCAGGAAAAGTGAACTGAACTCTTTCCTTTTCTCCTAGCATACCATCCCTATTTTCAGAATTAAAAGCCTCTATGTATATAAATTCACTTCAGTCTTTGTTGCAACACTTCATACTTTTAAAGATTTAAATCTATAGCTCAAGCAAGCTCCATTCCTGCACCCCAATCGTCAAGTGAATTGGCTGCTAAATAAGGAACTGTGTATATAGTGAGCACATTATAAAACTCAGCACAAAAAAGGTCAAAATAAACTCCAATTTGATGACTTTGCATTCATTTGCATAACTCCTACATGCAGCACTGTAATGTGTGACAGTAAATAAAACTACAGCACTGTACAGTATAATCAGCAAAAATTGCACTACTGTGTAACATCTACTATATAAAAGTGACACTGAGGCTGTATAACCAAGATGTACAGAACTGTTCAAAATAAAAAAAGACAGGCTGTAAATCCAAGCAGCATGATTCTGAACAGTCATTAAACAGTATTATTAAGTGATGGCTAAACAAAAATCAAAGTATAAATGTGCAGTGATGACTGCATAGCCTTAGATGTATTAGGGTGATACCTTACATCTTTGTTGTTTGGGAGAAATAGAAATTGAATTTCTTTTGAGACTGGGCGTAGTAGTGTGCACCTGTAATCCCAGCACTTGGGAGGCTGAAAACAGGAAGCTCATTACAAGTCCAATCTGTGTAGTGAGATCCTGTAGACCCTGTACTAAATACATTTTTTTTTAAAGTGAATCATAGAAATTGAATTTATTTTATTACATTTCCAGATGTTACTAAAAATACTGTAGTATTTATACAGTTGTTACTGAAAATGCAATAATTATTATATACATCTAACAGAAGGATGTTCTGTTTTCAATGGTTCCCCAAAACAAGGCCAGCACATTGAGCAAGTCTCAAGAAAGGTCCCTATTATCTGTCGAGTGTGGGGTTCTTCATTTCTCCTGTGTAATATTTCCACTGCGCTCTCTCTACAGATTCATTCCGATTGTGCTGCAAACCAACAAGTGACGTACCGCATCTCTGGAGTAGGAATTGATCAGCCGCCTTATGGCATCTTTATTATTAATCAAAAAACTGGTGAAATCAATATAACATCTATAGTTGATCGAGAGGTCACCCCTTATTTCATTGTAAGTAGGTTTCATGTTATCATATGTGTTCTTGGAAAATATCTTAAACTCATATCATGCATGATTGATTTCAAAAGTCACAATATTAGATAGTTTTAGGTGTCTCAATTTAGGAGCACACTGACAGGTACAAAGAAATTTAAAAAAAAAAAAAGAGGTAATATTTTTTAATGAGGTGTTAGCAAAAATGTCAGCCACTAGTCAGCCCTCATAGGAAACCAGAATATTTGTTTGGAAAGACAAGTAACTAACTTAGGTTTTCATTTTAAATTTTTTTTCCAGTTGAAAATTTTGGCTTCTTTGTTTTTGTTTTTGTTTTCTGTAACAGAGTTCAAATTCAGGACCTATCTCCCTGGCCCAGACTCTTTGAATTCCAATCCCTAGCAATGATTCTGAAGCCACTGAAGGATTCCATTCAGAGTGAACATGAATTTTTGTAACTTTGCACTGCTTGAGCTCGCCTGAGCTCCACATGAGTCTTGGAAAGGCATCCGTCTTTCACTCGTCTCCCTCTGTTCTTCTTGGGAACTCACACCCAGCTCAAGCCCTCTCTGCCTCCCGAACCTCAACTCCATTTAGCTGACCTCAACACTTCACCCAAAAGACTGTGGCCACCTATCACAAATTCCCATAACACTCTCTCCTCAACAAGCATTTTTCATTCAGCTCAGAAGCATAGTTAGCTTTTTACTGTTTCCCAAGATTATCTCAAAGTGTTCTCTTTGCCCCTTAAAAACTTGTTTCTTCAGAAATCTAATTCCATCAACTTTGCTCTGTCACCTCTCTCGTGCTTACCCCATTTCCCTCTTCCATTTCCTTCCATCATGGCGCCCAACACTTATTATTACTTCAAAGAAAAGAAACAAGAATCCCTTCTTTAATTTTGTAATCTCTTCTGTTTAAGCCCAAATCATCCAAATCCTGAAACGCCAATAGTAAGATGCATTTGCTGCTCTTGCTCATACTCCCCGTTCCTAGGACTCCTTTAATTCCCGGCCTTTCAATTCCTTGCCGTTTATCTAAAGTTCTACCTTTAACCCCATGCTGCTCCCCCAAGATCTCTCCAAATCAGCAAGCCAAACTTCAGCTTTTCAAAAGTATAATGTTTGTATACAAAAGATGCACTCATGTGAAACACTCCCATGATACTTGTGCACATTTCAAATAACAATAGCAAACACCCACATAGGCACTCCGTAGTTTAAGGATTCTGCATTTCTTTGAGTTCCCATGAGGCCCTCCTCCACACACCCTCACCAATCCTGTCTTATTCCTACTTCAAATACAGCATTTGCATCACTCCATTTCTTTCCCAGTAAGAATCCCTTTGCTTGGAACACCTTACCAAGTCTCAGATCCATCTGTTGAAATTCTCTTTCAAGGCTTAGTATATTCTATAAAATTAGAGTCCTTCCTACTATAGCTTATCATGTTGCCTATTTAAAAAACCATTTTGTGTTCATATTTGCCTTCTCTTACTGATTGTAGGTATTGTATGTACCTATATTCTAATAGGAAATAATAGTATTATTTCTCTTTTAATTTCCCACCTACAAAATATCCCTCCAAAGTAGAACTTAATAAATATGTTTCACCATACAATCATTCTTTCCTCTCCTAGATTGTTTGCAGGGCTCTGAATTCACTTGGTCAAGATTTAGAGAATCCTCTTGAACTGAGAGTCAGGGTTTTGGACATAAATGACAACCCTCCAGTGTTTTCCATGTCTACATTTATAGGACAAATAGAAGAAAATTCCAATGCGAGTAAGTAATTTATCTTACTAGGTAAGCAAGAATATACTGACCTCAAGATCATTCTTAACAGCCAGGAAAATACAGACTTGTGTTGAAACAAACATTGAGTGTTAAAAGACATGCTGTAGGAAAGCATGTGAAGGCTGTGCCTTCAATTACGGAACTAGCTCCAGTCTGCCATACAGAAAGAGCAAAAGAAACAAGGGTGATGAGTGACTTGGACATTTTTGGACTTTGCACAGTAGTGGAAAGGGCATGAATTGAGAACTTAGCCATCCAGGCTTGCGGTGTTGAAGAGCAGTCCCTTCTACTTCTGACCACACAGCTTTTAGTCCACCTTCTAATTGACAGATAACATTTGTACATCTTTATGAAGTACCCCATGGCAATTCCAAGCATGTATAGAATACAGGGCAGTTCAAAATAAGCCTATTCACCTCATTAACCATTAATCATGCTAATCTTTCATACTCATCTGTTCTAGTTATTTTGAAATACATCATAGATTGTTTTAGCCAGTATTCCTGCTATGCTGAAATAGATCCAGAACTAACTCACTCATTCTGAATTTTTGATGCCCATTACTGAACATCTTAGAACCTTTATATTAAGGGAAACCAACCACAGAAAAACAGAGACCATGTGTCACTGCTCATTTGTGGGAAGCAGTAAGAACAGAAGGTGATAGTGATCAATAGGGCCTGGGAATGGGAAAGAGAAGAAGGGCCAGCAAGAATGGCAGTCACTCTGAGAAATCAGTCCCACACAGTCTACTTTGTAGTCACGTGACTTTGTTGTTATCAAATAAATGTAAAATACCTGTTGTTCCCCCTCTTCTTAAATAAGTTTTAATAAAGAGCCAAGAAGGAGAGGGAAGATGAAAGAAAGGGAGGAGAATGACAAAGAAGAGGGGATGACATGCCCAGCACACTTGTGGAAAACTTGTATTTAAATGTTTTGGAGGGTAGAAAAGAATTCTAGTTTATGACTGAATATTGACAACTTTTCTTGTGCTTTAGTATCCTTCATTAAAACCAATTAACTGAAAAATTAACTGAAGGAAATAAGAGGACAGGACAGTACGCATGGTCAAAACAAATGTTTCTTTACATTTACTAGGTACTTGACACTTGAAGACCACCTGAAATGAAATGATACGTATTTATTAAAAGTCCATTACTCAGTTTTGAACCTTTGTATATGCTTCTCATGTTAGCTATTTAATTGCTGCATTAACTTAATGAAAATGGTGCTATTAGGGACATGGAAACAGCACATCTGAAAAGTATTAAAGTCAGGAAAAAAATTCATCTGGCCTTAATATCATTATGTTTTATTGTAAGCATGCTAAAAATCAGAACAAATTATACTAAAATAAAGACTAGAAAGCAAGGAGAGTATATTTCCTTCACTTTCTAGTTATAGTAACATCTAGGATCCTAGTAAAACGAGATCCTTTGTTCAAGACAAAGGTGAGAAAAGGAGCTAAAACGGTCCTATGTTGAAGAAATAAAACGGGGGTCTGGGGAGATAGCTCAGTAGAATAAGTGCATGCTTGGCAAGCACAGGGTCCTGAGTTCAATCAATCCCCAGTACTGCAAAAAGAAAAAGAAAAAGAAAAAGAAATAAAAGGGGAAGGTAGTAAAATGCACCCACTCACTTTAACATATCTTTGGAAAGGTAGTATGCTACACTGTACATGTCACACAAATATAAATTATTCACTTGCGATAAATCTTGTTCATTCCTAGATACCCTGGTGATGAGACTCAATGCCACTGATGCAGATGAACCAAATAATTTGAATTCAAAAATCGCTTTCAAGATCATAAGGCAGGAGCCTTCTGACGCACCTATGTTCATCATCAACCGATACACTGGGGAAGTCCGAACCATGAATAATTTTCTAGACCGAGAGGTTAATTTTTTTCTCTACATGGGTCTTTACTTGAAGGGACTGGTTCTGGAAGCAAAGTTGTAAATTTTTATTCACGTACCATTTCACAAACCATTAATAATGAGAAATATTTTAAATGAAAAAATGCAGCTTATTAAATTACATTTTATTTCTATATATTTCATTTAATCAACTGAATAGGATTGGTTTTAAGTTAAAAAAAAACTATAAAATGAAAGCACATTAAAATCTGAAGAAGGTAAGAGACAAAATTCCATTTCTAAAAATGTGTGTTCTGTAAGGAAATAAATGTAGAGATGCGGGCCAGCTAGATAGCTCAGTGGATTGCAGCACCTGCTTAGGCAGAGCACAGCGGCTGGGCTTTGATCCTCAGCATGCCGTGCTGACCCCGCTCCCAGGGCACACTGAGACAGCAAGTGAGCCTGGGTGTGGTGGTGCATGCCTACAATCCCAGCGCTTGGAAGGCTGAAAACAGGAGAATCACTATGAGTCCAATATGTGTAGTCAGACCCTGTAGTCCCTGTACTAAACACATAAAAAATAAATAAAATAAAATAAAAATATAGAGAAATGCTTGCTACTACTTCCCCATCTCAATAAACCACAGTATATAGGAACATGGTAGAGGCTCCAAGAATATTTATAGTTCTCTTGACAGCAAAATTCTGTATTGTTTTCCTTTTAAATTACTCTTATTGACAACCCAACTACTCATACTTTTGGAAATGAATCATAGAATCAGAAAAATGGATAGTAACTAAGTAACTTCCATGCCGAATTTTTCACTTACAAATGATAACTAATGATAGTTAATAGGTTAGAGATAACATTGTATGGTTTCTATCACATTATGGGGTCCCATTTCCTGATTTTAAAATCCCTAATTTTTCTTTTTTTAAAAGAATGAACATATCTTTAAATATAAGGTAGGAAACCTACATGCCCATTAGAGGTGTAAGTGAGAATGCTTTATTTTTTGACTGATATTTAAAGACATTTTACTGTAATTATTATAGTCATCTAGAAATGGCAAGGTCCCTATTAATGATTCATAGGCTTAGGCAGATCACATTATTTTTATTTTTTAATGGTCCAAATATTATGTTTCTAAATTAGCTAAGCATCCTCTTTTACTTGTGGAGAGCTCCTATTAGAATAAAATGATTGTTTAGCTTTTCCAAACTTCCTTAAGCAGAACAGTGAGATTCCTTTAGTATCCAAGATTCAAAAAAAAGGGAGCGTATCAGACGTAGAGGAACTCTGCTGTTATCGGAAACTCCAGGGCCATCAGCCAATCTCAAGCTGTTTCTAAGTGTGAATGCCCAAAATTCGCACTTATAACTTTGAATGAGCCTGCACTTATGTACACATCTAGAAAGGGCTCCAGAGCTTCTGGCAGCTTATAAAAAGGTAAGCGCCACTGCACAGAATAAAATATAGACACATCATCAATATCTCAATCGCCACAACTCTCTACTTCCCTAAAATACAAACGAATTGCCTTCTCTAATTTTCTTGCACACTCAGCGGCTGGCTTATACTAAGCAAGGAATTTTTTTGCCTTAAACCTTTGGTAAAACCCTGTCTCTTGGGTCACTCTGATCCACTCCATACTTTATGCATTTTTCCAACCTATGCACATGTTAGGGTTAATAAGCAGCGAAGCTTTGAGGGAATGTTGCTTTTAGATGATGCGGATAAACGTGAGTGGGAGTGCAAGGGATAACTTCTGGTTTGATTCATAAGAGATGAACAGACTTTCAAGAGTCTGTGTTACCCTGTCTCTATCATAGATTTGGATAAATATTGAGCTTGTATTATAAAAGAACTTTATGGAAGGCAGTAAAGTTGTCTGTGTCAGGTGTGATATTGTGTACAATGTGTTTTTGTAGCAATATGGCCAGTACTCTCTTGCTGTGAGAGGCTCAGACCGAGACGGCGGCGCTGACGGCATGTCGGCGGAGTGCGAGTGCAACATTAAAATCCTGGATGTGAATGACAACATCCCTTACCTGGAGCAGTCTGCAGTAAGTACTTGCTCCTGAAATTTTAAATTTAGTGACTTTAAGGTCATCGCACTTTAACACTTAGACGATTCTGTTTGCTGATTTTCATGTTTGCTGACATGTAAGTGAAAGACAGAAACACATGTTTTGTTTTTGTTTACTCAAAAGGAAAAAAAAAATGGATTCAAGCAATGAAAAGTGAGATTATAAACACAGATGTCATTTCTAGATAATAAACAATGGTTATCATTTTGGTATAAACATGATGCAGTTCTTATCTCTTACTATTTTCATTTGGAATATTCTTTTGCATCTTGTTTCAGTACGACATAAAAATTGAAGAGAATGCTTTATATTCAGACTTGCTCCCACTTAGAGTAATTGATTTGGATGAAGAGTTCACCATGAACTGGATTGCAGTAATTTTCTTTATCTCTGGAAATGAGGGAAATTGGTTTGAGATCGAAATGAATGAAAGAACAAATGTGGGAATGCTTAAGGTTGTTAAGGTATGCTGTAATTTTCTTGAATCCCCTAGCTTTGTTTTTGGTCTTCTTTTCAAAATGATAAGCTTAAAATAAAATATTAACATTTTATGAATTTGAATCACTGAGAGACTAAATATTACTATGTTTTAAAATTATATATAATGTAAAGCTTTTTTTATCAAACCTTTCTGCTTATATTATTTCAGGGAAATAGATATTGAATGTCAACTTCAAACTTTTTATGAGTTCAGTACTTCCAAAAGATAATACAAATTGAAAATATTTTAAATAAGCATCTTATTTTATGCTTAAAATAAAGTAGGACTAATCCTTGAGATTAATGTTTTCAGTGTATTCTAAAGCAAATTTTTAAATTGTGTATGTCAGCATTATATGTCAGTTTCATGGACTAAGAGTACTTGTCTTATAAACTGAAAGTTGTTTATTCCTCCAATACGTTTTTTCTCTTTTATTTTTAAAAGTTTAAGAAACCAGGGGCCAGGGAGATGGCTCAGTGGAATAAGCACTTCCTTGGCAAACGCAAGGGCCTGAGTTCAATCCCTGGTTCCACCAAAAAAAAAAGAAAGAGAGAAAGAAAGAAAGAAAGAAAGAAAGAAAGAAAGAAAGAAAGAAAGAAAGAAAGAAGAAAGAAGAAAGAAGAAAAAGAAAAGAAACCATTAGAAATTATACAGAATTTCACTAAACAAAATGATAGAAATTCAATAATGGTTGTTATATTGCATATATTGCTGTCTTGAAATTAGTTGTTCAGAATACCAGATATAAGCATGCAAAATTCGTCAAAAAAAATAAAGAAAAAAATTTAGCCATTAGCTGTTCCTTTCAATAGACCAGTAGAAATCAGCAGTATAGTTATCCAAGCTGTCCTGTGTATAAACCTATGTATTTCTTTTCCCCTTCCTCTTTCTCTTTTTCCTCCTGCCCCTCATTCTAGTTGTCCCTGCTCTTTGAACAGGTCCTTTCCCTTTCATGGCATCTACTGTACCTTTTGGATTTTATTTACTCTTTCAGGTTCTTACACTGGAGAGACAATATGATGTTTATACATATGGGTCTGACTTATTTCACTTACGAGTATGGCCCCTCGTTGCATCCATTTACCCATAAAAGCTTCAAGTTTACCTTTTTTAAGATTACTGAGTAATACTCTGTTGTATAAAACTACCACATCTTTTTATGCATTCTTTGATGGATATTTGGGTTGTTTCCAAGATTTAGCTATGACAAATGGCACTGCTATAAACATGGGTGCACATATATCGCTGTGGCTTGATGTTTTCAGTTCTTCTGGAAAAGTACTCGGGAAGGAAACAGCTGGGTTGAATAGGACTCCTAATTCTAGCTTTTGGGAGGAGTCTCCCCATTGATCTCCACAGTGGTTATACCAGTCTGCACTCGCACCAACAGTGGGGAAAGATCGCTTTTGCCCCACAGTCCCTATAGCAGTTGTTATCGGTTGACTTCTTGATGATAGCTATTCTTTCTGGGGTGACGTGGAATCTCAGTGTTGTTTTAATTTGCCTTTCTCAAATGACCAATGACTTTGAACTTTTCTTCATATATTTATTTACCATTTGTATTTCTTTCTTTTTATCTTTTTTTAAATGCATTTGGTACAGAGTATCACTATACAGCTCAGGCTCATTGTGATCCTCCTGTTTCAGCCTTTCCAGCACTAAGATTACAGACATGTGCCTCCACTCCCAGTCTCAGTGGCCAGCTCAGCACACCCAGGGGTGGGGTCATCACCACACGTGGTGTGGGGCACCAAACCTTGGTCTCTGTGCTTGCCTAAACAGGGGCTTAGGCCACTGAGCTCTCGCCAGCCCTGCCACTTGCATTTCTTCATGTGAGAAGTGTGTATTCATCTGGGGCTTTGGATTTGGGAGCCCTGTTTATTTTAAATTCTTTATATGTTCTAGATAGAAGTTTTTCATCTAGAGGGATAGTCAGCTACAATTTTTTCTTAATCCATGGGTTTTCTTTTTATTCTGTGGTGCTTTCTTTTGATGTCTGAAAACTTTTAAATAAGATGAGATCCGAGCTGTTGATTCTTTGAAGTATTTCCCATGCATTAAAATTAAATTACTATCATTGTTCAATCACCATATTCACTTTTCACTGTAGCTAGTGACGAAGGCTTAGTAAAAAATTATACTAGAGACTGAGTGCTAATGATCCACCATATTGACTCACAGAAGAATTACGTCTGCGATGCATGGGAAAAAAAATAGCTAACTTCTACCAAACAGCTAACAAAAGTTTCACCCTATGACTTATAGATTTAATACTTTAAGTATAAAATAGTTGACTCTACAGAATGCATATAGTATGTGTTCTATGCAGTAAAATGTAATCCCTCTTTGATTGGTTCTTTCCTTCAAAATATTCCACCATGGGAAGGTGTGGTGTTCTGCCTCCTTTACTTTCATAAAGTGGGACCATGCTGATAGCTTCTGTTTACTTCAAGCAGCATATAGATATTTTAGCCTGTCTCTCACCACACCCCTAAACATTAGCTTATCTCGTACCCATATGGCAATAAACAGATTGAGGCTCGAGGGGAGACAGCAGCCACTCAAGCTCTCACAGCCAGGAAGTGGAACAACCACCATTCCAATCCAGGTCTCTTAGCTATGGAATTCGCGTTCTTTCAGTAGTAGGCCAGTTGGGTCTTACTCTATTTCACACCACACAATAATATTATTTTTAAATTATTTAATCTCATAGCTCTCAGTGTCTCTATATGTAAAGTGGGATGATAAGTGCTCTCCCAGGTGTAATGTAATATATTCAATCCTTTGTTAGAACTATAAAAAGACATGTTTGGGATGCATATGTATATATGCTACTATAACTATTATGTAAGTTATGGATAAAGCAAAAACTAGAACAAAGATCCAAAATTGTAGCCAAATAGGTGAAGTCAATGTGTAAATCTCTATTTGTACCTAAATTACTCACGTGAAAATTCAGAAAAATATATTTGGTACATAAGGGCATAATGGCATAGTTTTGTAGATTTTCTCATTTATGATTTTTGGTATCATCTTTCATAATGGAAATCACTACCTAACAATTCTATAATGCAAAATGATTTTTTTTCTGGAATATATTGAAGAAAATAAGGATTTCTTTATACTATGTGTATAGTAACACTCTATCACCTGATCTATTTGAAAAGTCACAATTATAAAAGCAAAATTTCTAAACTTTCTAAAATATTTTTATGAAGGTCCTGAGTTCAATCTCCAGTACCAAAAATAAAGAAAAAAATAAAATATTCTTTATGAATAAAATTATTCAAATGATGAGACCTCAAAACCAGTTGACCCATACTTTGGTATATGCCAACGTAAATTATCTTTACACTATACAATTTATGAGTTTGACTACCTATGCTATTTTGTTTTTAATTTGGTGAGAAATTAGAACTCATATAACACATTTTCTTCAAATTTCTCAACAATGGATATAACACAATAGGACTTTTTCCTTCTTATATTGTGTTTGTATGTATTACATTGAACTGAAGATTGATACAGTAATACATTGGGTATTTGTATGCATTTACCTTTAATAATAAAAGGTGTAAGAAATTATTTTTACTATTCTTAAAGGACTTATTCTTTTGGAATTTTTTTTATAATAAAACAATTTTTTTCTGTATTTTCTAGCCCCTAGATTATGAAGCTGTGAAGAACCTGCAACTCAGTATTGGTGTTAGAAATAAAGCTGAATTTCATCATTCAATTATGTCTCAATATAAAGTCGTAAGCACTGCCATTTCCGTGATTGTGACAAACGTAATCGAAGGTGCAGTGTTTCGCCCAGGTTCAAAGACTTTCGCAGTAACAAGTAACATGGGAGCAAATCATAAAGTGGGAGACTTTATAGCTATTGATCAGGACACAAATTTACCTTCAACAACTGTTAGGTAAGAGGGATAGTTTTCAGCTTTCACCATGTACTGAACTTAAACACAAATGTTTTCATGAAGTTTACATATCTGAATTAAAACATTTGCCATTATTTTTGGAACCATCATTCAATTTGCAAAAAAGCATCAACTACTGAGTTGTTGCTTAGTGAGATATATATATATATATATATATGCATATGTGTGTTTGTGTGTGTGTGCAAGATGTAAGATGTGAAACTAAAAACTGAAAATTGTATGTAGAAAGTTTGGACACAACTGTAGTTATAAATCTCATTGGTCAGTTAGCTGTGACTACATTCTATAGTCTTTCCCATCTTGTACCCTTGACCCCTGTCTACCTTCCAGCCAGAGAAGATTTTACGGGATTGATTTTTCCATTGCAAAATTGCTTAACTTGAAATTGACTAGACTTAGCTCACCTTGGTTGTTTTCTCCATCTTAATCAGCACCAAATATTGGCCAGTAATTTTAGGTTGAAAAAGGAAAACAGAGGTTGTGCCGTTTTTAAATTCTGTATGTCTGTCTTTCCCTTAAAACTCTGTGTCCACGTGCATGCCTGCATGCAAATTTATTTGTGCCTGTGGCTGTGATCATGAACAATGGGGAAAGCTGTCACCAACGGAGTCACCAACACTGGAAGTTCTTTCTCCACAGTCTCCTCACCCAGTGCGAGGATTTTTGTCCTTGCAGTTATCACCCTGCATTGTCACTGTTAAGAGTTCCCCTTGTACCCCACAGCAGTGAGTTCACTGAGGGCATCCTCACCTTCACTCCACCTCTTCTCTGTTCCCTGGGCTTAGCACGATGCCCAAGACAGACACTTATCTGTCAGTATTTGCAGCACAAGTATGTAAAAGAGAAGGGAAACAGTGAGGTCACAATGAGGAGAGGAGGAAAATAGGATAAACGCATAAGGCAAGGACATAATCTGGAACTGAAGAAGAGTCTTGGAAAGTCACTGTGCCAGTGGAGAGGAGCAGCACATAAGGGCAGGGAATACAGGCCCTGGTTATGAAAGCACGTAATCCTTTTTGCTGTCCACGACTTTGTTTTTGTTGTTACACGTATATAGTGCAGACTAGGCCGAGCCCAGGAAATCCCAGCGTCTACAGCTTCTGGGGTGGTTTTGCTGCCACCAAGCAGAAGTGACAGCACAAGCAAAAGGAGCATAGTGCCACCCCAGTGGGCATGAAAAGCTCGTCCATCAGAGGCGATGGCTCAGGCTAACTCTTCAGTCTGCTTCTGAATGGACACATAGTACTGGTAGTGTCTTCAAAATGCAATCCTCCCATAATTAAAAATTGTCTAGGCTTTATGTTGACTGTCTAGAGCAACACATTTTATGTTTCAGAAGGTATTTTTAAATAGTTCACATTAATTTGTGCTATTTTCTTTTAAATACAGATATGTAATGGGGAATAACCCAGGTGACCTGCTAGCTGTTGACTCAAAAACAGGCATACTCACCTTAAGAAAAAAAGTTACCTTTGAACAGTATCAAATGCTTAATGGAAGATACAAAGGAACAATTTTATCTATAGATGGTAAGATATTAATTTAACTTCTCTTTCTTCTAGAAGAAACTATGTGAAAATATTCATATGTTAAAATGTTCATTCTTGTGTTCTAAAGAAGTATTTTTTTCCTACAAAAGTAATCATATTGGGAATTATATAGTAATACTTTTAATGCTATTAGGCATTATAATTTAGTGGATAAAATCATTAGCTCTTTAATGAGACTGGATTGGTGTCTTGTACCATCATTTCCTATTATAGAATCTTAGATAAGTTATTGGACTAATTTATACTTCAGTCTTCTGTTTAATGGACAATATAGATTTAGAAGCAACTGATGGGAATAATAAAAATAACAAAAACAATAACTAGTAAGACTGAAAGGTCATGGGATTTTATATCATATACAGTGTGTTTATAGCTACGACTGTTACATGCCTTCAGAGTTTTTTATTTATTGAGAAAAATCTAGACTCTTAATAAAATATTAGTCATTGCACAAAGTTCTAGTGTTATGTTAGTGAAATGTCAGGCAACTGACCTTACATCCGTGTAGCAGTACCAACCAAAATAACCTTCAATGAGCTACTCCTATATTTTTACTCAATAATTACATTTAGGATAATCTCAGGAAGCATCTTCAGTGTAAAAGATTTAGTGCACAAAGATGCTAACTACTACACTATCTTTAATAATTAAATATTGCCAGCAATTCCAGTAAGTAACTGGGAATTTACACCACTGCAGCGGAAGAGCACCCCCAGCCCCAGCCCCACCCCCAGCTTGCTTCAGTTTCTTAGTTGTTCAGGTTCCTGTGCAGTTCTGGTTGCTTCTGTCTCCTAGACACGGCTGGTCACTATGATACATACTGTAAGAATCAGGGCCCAGAGCACCAGCCATTCTGCCCCTTACTTCCTGATTCTTATCCAGTACAAGCCCTCGACCAGCAGAGATCAGGACCTGATGTTCTGGGAATGACCCCAATCCGTGCCTGTCATCCCTATGCAAATAAATCTTCCTCTGATTCCTAGGTGTCGCCCTGGTGTTTCTGCGGTTGCCCTGTTGTCCTCTTGGTATAAAATTATGTAGCCACTAGAAATTATGTTAATGAAAAGTATATTAAGACATGAAAGAATATTTTTTAAAATTAGAAATGTGAAATGAGCCACATGGTCATATCAATGTAAAATAAATAATAAATAATCCTTAGAAATTATAATTAAGGATAAAAGATTATTCCACCCCAAAATCAACAGGCGTTGTCCTTGATTGTTCTTGGCTATAATGGCTTTATTTTGTGGTTTTAGTTTGCTTCTTGTTAAAATTTTCACATTATATGTATTATATGTTCAACTACTTAAAATGTAAAGAAATAATCCAACGAATAATGTTACTAATGATAATAATTAGTTATAACAACAAAATAATTGATTGACATAAAAAGCTAAGTCAGACAGAGGGTAATTTGAGAAGTTACTGAATTGATGGGACTAAAGACATGGAAATAAGTACTGATGCAACATGAAAATAGTTCTGTGTTATGCACAATTGTTACACCGAATATCTAAAATATTTCTTCCATTTTGTTATAGATTCTCTTCAGAGAACTTGCACTGGTACAATTAACATTGACCTTCAAGGTTCTGGCTGGGAAAGAGAAGGTGGTGGTGGTGGTGATGGTGGTGGTGGAAGTACTACAACTGAGGAGGGTGGTACAAGCACTAGTTCAGGTACCGACTCTGGTACCGTTCCCAGTACTGGAGGTCAGGACACTGGAGGTGCTACTGGGACCTCAGAAGAAGGTATTACCCCTAATGAAGATGATACCGGAAAAGGTACACAAACAAATGACAATGGCAATAAGGACACAAATCAGAACAGTGGAGGACCTGGATCAGATAATGTACACTTTGGTCCTGCTGGGATTGGCCTACTCGTCATGGGATTCCTAATCCTAGGATGTAAGTATTTAACAGTTCCATTGATATATGGAGAAAATAAGTTTTCTGATCCTTTGATGAAACATATTTTATAAATTCTTATTTTGAGCCATTATGAAGAAAATTCTACACTTGGTGCTGGGATTGTAAAATGAAAAAAAAAAATGGAGCTTCTTGACCCCTTCTAGGACAGCATGGGGCAGAAACTCGTTTGTAGTCTATCTCAGCATAGGAGGACAGTGCATGGCAAGCAACTCAAATTGCTATGTGAGTGAAGTCAGTCAGAAACAAGGTACTGAAGCAATCAGAAAAGGCTACTTAAGGGGGCTGGGGAGATAGCTCAGTAGAATAAGCGCTTGCCTGGCAAGGGCCTGAACTCAATCCCCGGTTCCGCCAAAAAGAAAAAAAAAAAAAAAGAGAGAGAGAAAGAGAAAGAAAAAGAAAAGGCTACTTAAATAAAATAAGCTCTAAGTAATCCCAGCACTTGGGAGGTTGAGACAGGAGAATCACTGTGAGTTCAAGACCAGCCTGGAGGCTACAAAAGTGAGCACAAGGCCAGCCTGAACCGCACAGCAGGACCCTGTCTAAATAAATAAATAAATAAGTAAATGAGAACGAGGCTGATAGAGAAGAGAAAGGGCGCACATGGTAAGAAGGAAAAAAATCTATGTGAAATCCCCAACAAATGAGAAAGCACGGTACTGAAATAAACGCCTCCCGAGTGAAGAGGAGAAATGACACGCGCGGGTGTGTGCTCACAGCTGGGGCTCAGAAATAAAATCGTACAGGTCAGTAGAAGGGGGCAGGAACAGGCCGAGGGTGAAGTCCGTTTCTAAAAAAGTCACTGTCTGAAAACCTTTCTGAGCCAAGCTTTTGTCGTCCATAAAACAATACAGTGTTTATCTCACAAGATTGTTGTGATAATAGAGGTAAACGCAGCGCACCGAAGCACTGAACAGTCCTGAGGCCGCTAGACTAGGGTGAGTGCAGGCTCCGGGGTGGATCGGAGGGGAGAATCCAGTGGATTCTGCAGGCGGCCCCGACACTGGCACAGATGATGCCGGACTGAAGTCGGAGATGAGCCATGCGCCACAGTCGGAGGGACGGGAAAGGGCCTGCGAAGCCGGTAGGTAGAAACGGGGCTGCCACCCAGGGATGCACACAGGCCTAACAACGCCAAAGAAGGGGGCCTGCCCCTTAGCTCAGTTCTTAAAGTGGCTGCTTCAACAAAGCAGTCAGGCTCAGGCTGCTGTGGTTCGATCCCCACAACTCAAGCCAGCCAAACCTGCCCTGAAGGCATTCGAAGAAAAAAAAATGCCAAAGAAGCTGGGGGTGGAGGGGAGGAGATTCCCCACATTTTTAATTAAAACACACAGAATGTGAATTCAGAGCACGTTTTTTCTTACTTTCATTCCCCTTAATACATAAACAGCTATAAATAGACATGTTGCTCAATTTATTTGAAAAACATTAATTTCTCTGATTGAATAACTCATATTTCTGAACATTTTAAAATATTAATCCATCTAAACCATCAGAATCTAAACCATAGATTCTAATATGCTAATAACAGTTGAGGCTCTTTCTAATTTAAAATATACTTCAAAATGAAATTTCCTTATTAGGCAATAGGAGGTCTTATTGGCTCATAAAAAAATTGAAATGATGACCAGGATAAATTCTATGAATAGAAGAGCAAGTTTAAAACACAAATATTCTCATCAAAATGAACAAAGGCAAGGAAGATGTAAAAGCTCCAGGAAATGGACAGAATGTACCATAAATGGATATGAGAAGATATAATTCTATAAAGGTTTAGCTCCATTGATATTCAACCAACATCACAAAGCTAAAATTCATTACTTTATAAAAGTAATTTAAATACCCGGGTACTGATCATTATAATTATAAATAATATTTAACTTTAATTTTGAGTTTGTTTTTATGTTGGTGGTTACCTTCAAGTAGTATACTTAAAATTACATGTAGGCTTTAAAGTCAATATGGCTCTTTAAAGCTCTCTTGCACTTGCCAGGCAAGCACTTATCCCACTGAGGTATCTCCCTGGCCCTGCCTTTCTTTCTCATAAGCAATCTTTTTGCCTTCTCTTTTTCCTTCCTTCTTTCCTTGGATTTCTGTTTGCACATTCTTCCCTTCATCCATTCTTGAATTCAAACCATTTCTCAAGCTTATATCATATAAGCAAATGATTTAAATAAAATATTAAAATGATGAATAAAAATAAGTATTTAAATAGAATAGGAAAACTCTCATTTACAGAAAAACTCATAATGAATTTTGTGATATTTTCTATTTGTGTGAGAATAACCCAAGGAAAAGGTGTCTGTAGGGGACAATATCATCCTCAACAAGAATAATTGCTCAATGCATGAATAAGCTTTTAGCATTCAAATAAAGGGGAAACCATGTGTGAAAGCCTAGAAATAAGGAAAAGCAAGAAGAAAACAGAAGAATCCAGCACTTTGCCCAGCTTCTCCACCTTCCTTTTTCTCTTACTACTTTTCTGAGTAATGATGGGAGACAGATTTATTTTAATGATATAATACTGCATATAATTTTACGTTCACAAAAGTTAAATCAATTAGTATCTTAAAGCTTACATTTATTTTGGTGTCTGACAATTATAGTTTGTTCTCTGAAGTTTTCATAATAATTTTAAAATCAAATGTAGCTCTATTAAGAAGTCAAATCAAGCCATTAGGAAAAGCAGATTGCTGTAACGTGGGCCTCTGTTAACTCCAATGTTCCTGTCTTTCCACTGCCAGTGGTCCCATTTCTAATGATCTGCTGTGACTATGGAGGTCCCTCTGGGGGCAGCGCTGGCTTCGAGCCTGTTCCAGAATGTTCTGATGGAGCCATTCACCCATGGGCGGTAGAAGGACCACAGCCCGAACCCCACGTAAGTGCTGGGTGTGCGAGGGGGGTGTTGGAGTCACCTAAGTCAGTCCCCACAGACAAATGAATGGCCTCAGTTGCTCAGACTACCCTGTTCTTTCCTCTGGAATAGTGAAAAGGAGCAGGGAGGGGAAGCAAAAGGATATCAGAATTAGATGAGATAACCAGAGAAGGCTTTCTGCGTGAGGCTCAAGTGATAGACAAGCGTGGACTGTTTCCAAAGTAGTATGTACTTGGGAAATCTGCACTAATTCAGCAAAAGTATGACTATAGAAAGAAAGGACTCATCACAAATGGGGAAATAGGGGCCAGGGAGATGGCTCAGTAGAATAAGTACTTCCCTGGCAAGCACAAGGGCCTGAGTTCAATCCCCGGTTCTGAAAAAAAAAAAAAAAAAAACAAATGGGGAAATGTTGCTTGTGTCTTTTAGGACATGGGCACTATCTGTGTACCAGCAATACCAGCCGCGGGGGCAACTATGATGGAATGTATTGACAACTCAGGTGAGGAGAACATTCTAACAGCTCAAATCATGATGGAAAAACTGTTCTCCATTTGTATGTCTTAGAGGGTTTTTTTTAAATATCTTATTTGTCTTTGAAAGGGTTTCTATAATTCCCTTTTCGGTGACTAATTTCTATATTAAAGAAAACTTACTCTGCTATTATTATGTGTTATACTTTTTAAATCTTCTTCAGTCAATGGTGTGTAAGTAGATGACATAATTAACACCTCTGTAAGCAGAAGTACTGAGTTATAACTGTGAGTCAATTATGTCAAGGGTTTTTATCTAACAGAAAATTTACGTACAAGAAAACTTACATACAAGACTGACTAAAATTATAGTGCCGCCAATTAAAATAGATCTGTGCTCACTTATTGAGACTACAATCTCCTTCCACAGTTTAGTAATTCAAAATTGATTGAACTGCTTAATGTGCTAAAGAAAAATTTGCATCAATTCTTTTTTTTAGACAGGATCTTGCTATGTAGTTCAGGCTAACTTTGAATCCACTGTGTAGTCCAAGAAAGCCTTAAACTCCCAGCATCCTCCTGCCACCAAGTGCTGGGATTACAGGTGTGCACCAACACGCCCGGTTGCATCAACTCTCAGAATCAGTGTAAATGTTGACCTAAAAGATTTTTGTTCATTTTCATAAACTGACCAAGACATAAAATATTATCAAAATCTATAGCTACAGTATTCTACTTACAGAGGAATAAGACTCTAGAAACAAATTTCCTCAACATCAGAATCATGACAAGTTTATAGGTAGAAGCTAGAGAACAATTGGAACCTCACAGCAAGTGGATGACTACCACCATAATGAAGAGAACAAACAAATTCTCAACTCCATGAAAATAGTTATACCCTATTGCATTTTGCAAGGCAAATGGTATTGATTTTCTTGGAGGTTTTTTAGTCTTTTTTAAAACTTTTTTTTGTTTTATTAGTACATGTTTGCAGGGCATGCAGCTTATAACCATCTTGGGGAGAGGACATATGCTTATACTGCTGCTGTTTCGCTTTTCTTAATCCCCTTCCTTCCCTCCCTCCTACCTCCCTCCACCCCTAATTCTCCAACCCAGGCTTTTTGTTCTTGTTGATATTATTAATCTTAGCTCATGTTATGGCCTATAATCTTTGCATTCGGTGTTGTCATTAGAATCCTGTACAGGCACATCTTTATTCTACTTATTTCGCTCCCCTCCTCTGTGTCCCTTCCCTGTGCCCCTCCCCGGTGTCCCTCCCCCTATTCCCTTGGACCACTTCCCTATTCTTGGTCATTTGCAAACTACTAATTGCTGCTTTTCTACTTTGAGCTTTGTAAAATGTAACAGGCATAAAAGTGTTTATAACTTATAGCACTAAAATGTTATTCAAAGAAGTAGAAGTGCTAGTCCTTAAACCTATTTCTCCTCCTGAGCCACTGGTGTAAATGATGCTAGTGTCTTTTCACCTCGAAGACGGAAACCACTGGGAGATCCTCTCTTCACGGGTGTCCATTCAGCTCTCAAGACTCACTCAATCTCTGCATCCCTCCGGATTTCCTCATGCCATTATGCCCACGTTAGGTCTACGAACTTTGCACAGATCTTGAGCAAAGCCCTGTAGAAGGTGCCAGAGCCACTGATGTATAGAAGATAAACTGTCCCCAAACTCAAGATCTTTAGAACTGTAAAGCTGTGGGACATGTGTCTTAACATAAATGTTCTTCCCTCCGTGGCTTGTCCATACTCCCAGCTGCCATCATGCCCACTTAACACAAATATTGTGACAGCCCTCTATTCACCCCCATGTGCAAGTGCAAACCAAGACTCCATGGACCTTCCTCTCAACGTGGCTTCCTCTCCAAAAGCCAGCAATCCTTATGCCATCTGGACCATCTGTAGGTCTAATAACACATTTGGGCTTATCTAAGGCTGATCGTTCACTTTTGAATGAGTATTTTACCCCCCAACTTTCCTCAGTTTGAAATCAAACCCCTTAGAATATACATTTTATGACTTATCTGCAGCACCCTGTTCCAATTCCTCTTGCAGATAATGACGAAGTTAACAAATGATTAATAACTATCTTGAACTCAATATCAGTTGTACTTTTCTTTCTTCTTTCATTTTATTTCTCTGCTCAGAGATGCATGCCTGAATGAGCAAACTGTATTATAGTAAGTAGTTTCCACTCACAATATACTAGAGAAATAAGTTCAATGTTTCGAAACACTTTTAGGCGTTTATACAAATGACTACTGTGCCAGAGAAATGCAAGACCTGGGAGGAGGAGAAAGGACAACAGGATTTGAACTAATGGAGGGAGTGAAAACCTCAGCTGCACCTGAAATATGCCAAGAATATTCTGGAACATTGAGAAGAAACTCTATGAGGGAATGTAGAGAAGAGGGTCTGAATATGAATTTCATGGAGAACTACTTCTGTCAGGTAAGGCTTCTAGTCATCTGATTTTTAATAATTGCCACCCAGGGCTTTGGCAGGAACCTCAGATCCCCAGCCTCCAGCCTGTGTGCCCAACAACCCATATTGCTGTCGTATAATATTTCTAAGGTTCTGACTTAAGCACCTTACTCTCCCACTTAAAAAGACAGTCAGTGTCTCCCAACTCTATTTTGTCCATATCATGCAGTCCAAACTCCTTAACATAGCAATGAAATTTGTTCACAAATTGCTCCCTCCACCCAGCTCCTTCCTCCTCGTCATCCACCCTATACACTGAGGTCTTTTGCCTTATTCACAGCAGCCTGTTCATCTCCATGCTTGTGATGCTGAGCGTCTCAGCAAGTGCTTCCTCTCCCACCCTCTCTCTTACAAACTCCTACCCATCTTCCAAGACCCTATTCAAATATCTCTGCCTCTCTGCACTTTTTTCAGCCAACTTTCCCATCCAATTTCCTATCTGTATTTTGGGGACACTTAGTATATTCATTTGATAAATTAGCACTTCTAGAATCTGTTTGTTTGTATGCTTACCACCATTTTTAGTGCCATGTCATATAAGCCACATGCTGAACATTTTAGGGGGTGAGTGGTGGCTGGCTCAGCCCACTCTAGGGGTGGAAATGGCACATTATGTGTGCCAGGGATGGAACCACAGTCCCTGCATTTGCCTAAGGAGGCACTTTAGACCAGTGAGCTATCTCGCCAGCCCTGATATTTTAAAATAAAATATTGGTCAAAGTCTTGCAAATAGTAATACAAAGCAATGAGACTTGTTGCTGAAATACATCAGAACACTTTCTGTTTATGTCTCCAAATCTGGAGTCAGAAGTAGAATTCAGCCTGGAGCCTTGGCACTTTCCTTAGCCTAGCCAGCACACTCTACCTCACTGTCACTTCATTGGAGTCTCCAGCTACACATCATGACAATAAAGACTGCTGTGCTATCATTAAGTGTGAATCCATAATTGTTTTCTCTTTCCTCTACAAATTCAGAAAGCTTATGCTTATGCCGATGAGGAAGAAGGACGCCCATCCAATGACTGTCTGCTCGTGTATGATATTGAAGGTGCAGGCTCCCCTGCGGGCTCTGTGGGTTGTTGCAGCTTCATTGGCGAAGACTTGGATGAAAGCTTCTTGGATACCCTGGGGCCCAAATTTAAGAGGTTGGCAGATATCAGCCTGGGAAAAGAACCCGAATGTTATCCAGACCCTGATCCCTCATGGCCTCAGAATGTGGAGCCAGTGTACCCTGTGAAGACAACAAGACCAGTTCCTAGCGGAGTCCCACCCGTTTCCCAGCAGGTTGGCACCACCACCGTCTTTTCTGAGAGCACCTATCCCTCGGGACCTAGCATACATCATCCTATGCCTATTTCCGACCCTCTGGGCTACGGCAATGTCACTGTAACCGAGTCTTACACCACCTCTGGCTCTCTGAAGCCCTCTGTCCACCTTCATGATAACCTGCATGCACCCAATGTGGTGGTGACAGAGAGGGTGGTGGGCCCTATCTCCGGTGCTGATTTGCATGGAATGTTAGAGATCCCTGACTTGAGAGATGGCTCAAACGTTATAGTGACGGAGAGGGTCATAGCTCCAGGTTCCAGTCTACCCACCTCTCTGACTATACCTGCTCCCCTAGAGTCTTCAAATGTGGTAGTGACAGAAAGAGTAATCCAACCAACTTCTGGCATGATAGGCAGTCTAGGTATGCACCCAGATTTATCCAATGCCCACAATGTGATTGTGACAGAGAGGGTTGTTTCTGGCGCTGGCATTAGTGGAATTAGTGGGGCAGCTGGGATAAGTGGTGGTGTAGGCAGCAGTGGCCTGGTTAGCACCAACATGGGTGTCAGTGGCAGTGGCCTGAGTGGGGCTGGCATAAGTGGCGGTGGCATCGGGCTCGGTGGCCTGGGTGGGGGTGGGGGCCTGAGTGGCAGCATGGGGGGGACAGCCACCATTAGCCACATGAGGAATTCCTCTGACCATCACTTTACCCAGACCCTGGGATCTGCCTCCCCTAGCACGACTCGAAGTCGAATCACAAAGTACAGTACAGTACAGTACAGCAAGTAGTCTATGTCTCAGAATTCATGATCACATTAATTATGACTTAGATTCAGTTCCCACCACCCAAAATGTAATAATGCAACTTATGATGCACAGCTAGGTGCTAAGAGCTACATTCTGCTGTGAGAAACCACAATGAGAAAAACAAATGAACGCATTGCCATGGGGAAGAGGACTCCCTGTATGTTTGTAAACTGTTTCCTCATCTCATGATTAATGACCTCATGACAGTGGACTAAAATAGGACTTGGTGTGCCTGTGTGGCCAATCAGGTCTTCTGGGTATCTATGTGGCCTGAAGTTTATAGCCAGCACATGGAGTAAATAAAATGTGCTCATGCAATAGGACCGCCCTCAACGTGGCAATTGGCATAATTTTCTCTTATGTTGCTATGTAATTCAGGCAGTATTCAAAACCAACTAAACATACAATTTATTGCCACAAGTAATCTGAAATTCTGCCTTGTCAATTTCACAGATAATGTAAATAAAACTCCAACCATAAATTCAGAGCAGGGTTAAGTATTTAAGAATCTGATGACCCAACCAAGTCTCCAGCCACCATGCTCTGTTGCCTTTCCTTTACTTATCTGCAAGAGAGGAAAGAAACATCAGATTACAAATGCTCCACACTGGGAAAATTCCTTTAGAAACTAGCAACAGAGGGAGATTGGCTGGGAGTAAGCTGGCAGAGCCTAAGCTAAACCTCAAGGGGAGTCTTCAGTAACAGTCAAGGACATTCCTAATCCCAGGTTAAGGTTAATGGTAGCTGTGATCTTGGAGAATGTTGCTTCCTGGGGAGATTACGAGACATCACAAGTGTTTTTCTCTTTACCACTGTGGTTATCAATTAATAATAAAGGAAAGTGGCTCAGATGGAGTCGAGCAACAGGTAACATGATTGTCATCACCAGTGGTAAACACCCTCCCAGGTAAAACAGATAGAAACTGCACTGCACTGTCAGATTATGTTTTCAGCAAGTGTTATTTGCTCATGTCCAGCTGTTTGTTACATAAGCCCCAAAATTGAAATGATTTGCCTGAGCTGAACGACGGGGGTGTTTGCAGCGTGGCTAAGCTATAGGGGAGTTTTTTAAGGGGATCTTAAAACAATGTTTTTCGAACATGCAAACTGTTTTAAATGGGGAAAGTTAGGAAAGAAGTGTTCACTAAAGCAGTATCGAACTAATTATTAGCTTTGAGTTTAATACTTTCTTTGAATAACCCTCTGCCGCCATTTTGAATGGTCAACATGAACCTTTTACAGAGTTGATAATATTGTGTAAGAAAGAATAAAATAGTATTACATAAACCCATTTCTTTCACTCCCTTACTAAATATTTTCACAAGCATAAATTTTAAAATCCTGATCTGATTTGTCAATAAAGTCTTAGCATATAAATATTCTGATTTATAGATAATTCCCAAATAATGTGTATGATATATTTTTCTAACTTCAAAACATAGTAATGTGCTATTTATGATGTATTATTTCTGTGTATTTGCTCTGTAATGTTTCCTGATTACAAATCTCTAAAACAAAGCAACACATTCTAAGAAATAGGGAAATTTACCATTGCTTGGCAGAGGAGTTGTTTGGTGTTTTATTTTCCTTTGTTTTCTTAAAATTCATTGTAAATATAAGCTCACTAAAGTGAGACTGGGTACAGCAAATAAAACTAGAAAAAAATTCCCCTCCTGGAGTTGTGAATTATATACTATAACATTTTTTTCCTAGTCAGCTACTCAATTTTCCAAGATGTTACGAGGTCAAAGAACCATTATTCAACTTCCAATGCTTGTCACTGAGGGCTGGGAGTGAATTCCTTCCCTAGAGCTATTTTGCTCCATATAATAGTGAATGAGGTTAATATGATAAAAGTCACAATATACATCTTACCTTAGCTCTGTAGCATATGTACAACTTTGATAACCTGTAATATGCTAAAATGCAGAGGTGTAAATAAAGTCATTCAAAGGGAGCCTTTCTTTTATTTTTTTTTTTCTGTCACTTAGGGGATTATGTTAAGAATGGGAAATATTTTTCCAGAAATAAAAACAAAAGGCATTTTATTGAAATATACTTGTGCATGTCTAGGTTCAGGAATTTGAAAAAATAAAAAATTATTTTTAATATTACTTAATTAAAGGGAATGATATTTGATCACAGGAAACAAGTGTTGGCCTGATGCATGATCATAAATCTTAAGACACTTGAAATGTCCCGTGTATATTTTTGAGGATAGTCTACCAAATGACTATCTTAAGAAATTATTGTTGGGCTGGTGAGTAGCTCAGTGGCATAAGTGCCTGTCTAGCAAGCACTGCGTTTAATCCCCGGTACAGAGAGAGAGAGAGAGAGAGAGAGAGAGAGAGAGAGAGAGAAAACCATGGGAAATCTGAATTTTAAGTGGTAGTATTAAATACCCATCTTTGTAGGAAGATACTATCAAATAAATTTTTTAAGACTGCACATGATATTCTGTTTATTCCTAAATTTTAAAATTATTTTTTTTTTTTCGGTACCGGGAATTGAACTCAGGACCATGTGCTTGCCAGGCAAGTGCTTAATTCTACTGAGCTATCTCCCCCAGCCTTAAAATTACTTTTTTAAGACATCAATCATATAAGATGCATTTAAAGACATCTTTTCAATGAACAGCTATCATTCCTGTCTGTAGATGCTTCAAGTGCAGCACCACCTTATACAGCCAGAAGAGTTGTGGACATCATTTTATAAATAGCTGTAATTTAGGTCCATATCACAACTTAAATCTTAGGTCAACTTGCTCTTAACAGAAGGAAGAAAGAATAGACAGCAATTTAATGTTATTTATGTATGGCTTACAAATAAGCCATAATATTTATTCATCTAAATTTCTAAAGAAATCATTCTCAGGGGCTAAACCTAGTATATCACAAATAGTGCACCATTCACTATAAATAAAAGTACTATCGAGTTAATTTGGACATTGAATTTCAGATACATCTGCTACTTTTTATAGACTCCATGCATGAGGACAGATGTAACTGTATTGGCCCTGAAATTTTATAGAAAACTATCTTTTTAGGGCTATTTACATACCTTCATCTGAATATCTGTTCTACATTCATGCATAAAGTTTTTAGCATTGCACCGTAATTTTCATTCCATATAGTATTTTGACAAAAATTTAATTATATGTCTTCAATAATTGCCTTTTTATATAAGTGGATGACTTTAGCTGTACAATTTATTTCTGAATTCATATGAAAATTTGATTGCCAGCCAACATATAGTACTTATGACACTTTTTGGCTTTTGTAGGAGATTAAAGGTATAATTAGTGGCAAAAGTAGCCATAGCCATCTTGGAAAAATATTTAAAATGACAACAAACCTTTTAAAGAACTAGACATACTCTCTTATCCTTATTTAGCAATTTTTAATCTTTTGGGGGAATTCCTGACACTTTTAAGGCCTCCTTTGTATTGCCTCAGACTATACAATGAAATCAAATATGTCTTCATTTCCAGATTTTTCAGTGTGTTAGGACAAACCCTGAATGAATAATTTATTTTTTAATTCTCTAAATTCCCTTCCATTTAGTTTTAGTTAAAGTACTAAACATTTTATGATGCAATTGTGCTTAGTCTAACCTATTTTTCTTTTGCTGCCTATTTTTCAAGCATTATGAAACTCTAATATTCAGCTTTGGGGATGTTTAAAGCAAGATGCTCCCCTTTGAGTGTCAGTGCTCAAGGGTTGGGGCTGTTTGGATGCCAGTTCTTTGCCTCGTCCTCTGTCGCCTACATGAGGATGGTTTCTATTTCCAAACACTTGCGTTCATAGAAATACAATGCTTGAGATGCCTCCAGTTTCTTTTCTTGAATTTTAATGTGGGGGGAGGCTTATAGGCTATAAGAAATAGAAGTTTGCCTCCCATTATTTTCAGTCCATATTCAAGGAGATCATGATTTTCCTCTCATAATAGTAAGGTGTGTTTCACTCTCCTCCTCCTCACCATCTCGTTCCTTCCGGCTCCCTGAGGAGTCTCACAGGGAGTTCCTCAGAGCCAGGCCTGGGCTCTGCCTTGATCAGCTAGTTAGCCTCCTACAAATGGATGGGTTTATTTTATTTTATTTATTTTTTATTTTTTTGTATTTAATAAAGGGTGTTCAGGGTCTCACTACGTAGACTGGACTCATAGCGGTTCTCCTATTTACAGCCTCCCAAGCACTGGGATTACAGGCGTGCACCACCGTGCCCAGGCGCAATCGCCATCTCAGTGCAACCCAGGGCTGGGGCCAGCACCGCAGGCCAGGGGATTGAACCCGGGTCCCTGTAACAGCATTTTTTTTTAACTTTTATCTTTTTAATACACTACTTTCATTTTATGCTTGTACTTCTTTCATGCTGTTTGATATTTATCTATACTGGCTTTCTTTTTCTTTTGGAATGACTTTCCTCATTTGCTCTAAAAACCACACCCTTTCACCTGTGAGCAAGCCACATGGCCATCTGGGCACAAGACACATGCAACGGAGGGGCATCCGAGGAAGAACAGGGAGGTCTGCGTGCTGGGAGAGAGCAGGAAAAGGAAGAGAGCAAACAGAGGAGGTCTGAGGGGAAGCCAGGCTGACCTTGGCCCTGCAGGTCACCGTGGGCCTCTGCTCTGCTGCGTGTAATGAGGTGCCTGGGCAGTATGGGGGAGTGGTCCTCTGCTGTGCTCGGGTCTAGGTCTTTAAAATAACTCTCTCCCTACTGTGTTGACACTCAGAGGAGGGAGTCCCAGGCCCAGGGAGACTGGCTGGATGGCTGCAGTAGTAAAAAGCCACACGACTGGCTGGGCCACAAAAGCTTGGTAGTGAGTGAGTTGTTGGGCCACAGAAGCATGGTAGCAGGTGAGTGGTTGGGCCATAGAAGTTTGGTAGCAGAACAAGTGACAAAGACAACACAAAAACCCTAGCCAGGCCAGCAGAGCAACATGGAGAAAGAGACTGGACAAATGTCCCTGAGCCACAGACTAAATTTAATCTTCTTATTAACTACCGCTAAAAAATCAAGCAGAGTAAGTCCAAGTGTAGACTATCAAATGGATCAAGGAGTTTGAGAATGATACTGTTTTCTAGTCATGTACTTAGTGATTGAGTTGAAATAAGAAAATTCCTGCAGACTAGGGTGTACTTATTTTTTCCTATTTGGACAAAGAAAGCTGACAAACTTGGGTATCACAATCTGTACCTATCATCCAGTCATAGCCCCTCTTTCTTAACAGTTTCTATAAATCTTAGGAGGAAGTGATTCTGTCTCCACAACTTGCCAAAACTGGAGAGAATATCAGGCTCTGGTTTTGCTTGTTGTTTAGGAGGTTTTTGTGTTTTGTTTTGTTTTGTTTTTACCAAAGTTCACCCTAGCGCAGCCCAGAGTGCAATCTGCTGCATTTTGTTCAAATGGAAATACTCTTAGTGGGCCCTGGTGGCACACATCTACAGTCTCAGCATCCTGGGAGTCTGAGGGAGGCAAGAAAGTCTTAAATTCAAACCAGGTTGCTAGGCAACTTAGCCCAGCCTTGTCTTAAAATATAAAATGAGAACAGGGGGCTGAGGATATATGTCAGTGCAAAGGACCTAAGTTAAATTCCTTGGAAGGCAAGAGAGAGAAATGAAGAAAGGAGAGAAGAAGAGAGGGCGAGAGAGAGAGAAAAAAGAAAGGTGAAAAGAAGAGGGAGAGAGATTTTTTTTTTCTGTTCAATCTAATAAATAGCTCTTCAAATATATGCCAGTTGCTGCTGAATGAGCTGCAGACCTGGAGTTCTCAGTTCAAGTTCATTTTGACTACTGTCTTATGCTGGGTTCACTCAAAAGCAGACCCAGAGTTGAGATTTGAAGGCAATGTTTGAAGAAGATAAAAACCAACAAATAAACACTGGTAGAAAATGAGGAGAGAAACAGAGACAGGAAAACAACACTATCAAGCCAGTTATAACCACAGGAGCATCAGAAGCCCCATGCTCCTGGGAAACGCGCTGGGAGGAACCACCGCATAGAGCATGCACTGCAGCGAGGGGCTGCTCTTTCCACAATAGAGGCAGTGTCCCACGCGCAAGAGCTGCTGCCAGCTAATGCTCCAGGCCACCTCTGAGGACAGCCATTGCCTCAGCCTGAGGAACATGTGAGTAAAGTAGTTTTGGTGTCACAGAAGTAAGAAATCCAGGAATAGACTGTATGGGAGAGTGAACACAACTGAAATGGTGGGGACAAATAAGGAAGGGCCTCCTTCAAGATCTGATAGTCACTGGTAGCTCGGAACACACTGCTGAAGGACTGCATATAAGAAACTGCAGAAACTTCTCACTTGACAGCACTTTCTGGAACCTTCCCCAATAAATCGGAATGAGTTCTGTGTCACTCTATCAGTATTGTAATAGGCTGGGTAACAAAGTCTTCAAGCCCTCCTTCATTGATTCGGACCTTTGCAGTTTCATATTATTTGGGTTAATTAGATGTTTGCCCCCCATAGAGTGTTTAAACGTATAATCTTTCTCCCGTAATACATAGCTTGACTTTACTGATACAACCTCAGGACGACCTGAAAAGGTAATTGTTCTGATATCTATTTACTACCAGAAATAAATGCTATCAGCTCACTAAGGCTATCATTTTTGTAAACCCAACATTTGCTAACAGCATCACATAAATTCATCTTGTCTCTGAGACATGTTCATGTACCCAGCTTATTTTAAAAGACACATTAACCAAATTATAGTGCCTTGAGTTGAAGCCACAAGCAATTAAATAACAAATTTTGAATTAACCTATGATACTCAGGGGTCAGCAAAGGAACAAGCAGAAATTCATTTTTTGTTGCACACAGGAATAAATGCAGATCCCTCAGTGCTCCAGCTGTTTTGAAACCTGTGCTTCTCTTGGCTGTCTGTGTGGAGACTGAATCCTCAGGTTACACATGTACATCTAATTCCTACCATCTTAGATAAAGCTTCTTTTTCTGAATTCTTCATTGATGCAATACGTCCTTTTTAAACTATGACTAAATGATTTAAGTAAAAAAATGTGTTTCATTCAGAGCTGG